GACATGACGAGGAGTCTCGAAATGGTCGAGGCGTAAAGATCAATATATTAGAAGGCTATATTCGGACATCAGAAAGGTTCCTAGTGATTCGGATATTTTTCGGAGTACCGAAGAGTTACGGGAATTCGTATTGGGCCTTAATGGGCCATACGAGAAAGGAGAGAAAGGCCTCAAGGGTGGTTGCGCCCCTTCCCCATGGACTGGTCCGAATTGTACTAGGGAAAGGGGGCGCCCCTTCCTTCCTTCTCCTTCTCCCTTCCCTTTTTCTTATTCCATGTAGGAGGTGGGATCCTACTAGGACTAGGGAGTCCTAGTAGGACTCCACACTTTGGGCGCGCCCTATGAGGGCCAGCCTCCTCCTCCCTCCATCCTTTATATACGTGGCCAGGGGGCACCCCATAGACACACAAGTTTATCATTGATCTCTCAGCCATGTGCGGTGCCCTCCTCCACCATAATCCACCTCGGTCATATCGTAGCGGTGCTTAGGCGAAGCCCTGTTCCGGTAGCATCATCATCAATGTCATCACGCCATCGTGCTGACGAAGCTCTCCCTCGACACTCTGCTGGATCGTGAGTTCGTGGGACGTCACCGACCCGAACGTGTGCAGATCGCGGAGGTGTCGTACTTTCGATACTAGAATCGGTCGGATCGTGAAGACGTACGACTACATCAACCGTGTTGTCATAATGCTTCCGTTTATGGTCTACGAGGGTATGTAGACAACACTCTTTCCCTCTCGTTGCTATGCATCACCATGATCTTGCGTGTGCGTAGGATTTTTGAAATTACTGCGTTTCCCAACAATTCGGACACCGGAAGTGTTTCGGATTGTATCGGGTACATATCGGAGTACCGGGGGTGTTACCGAAACCCCTCGGGGGAAGATATGGGCCATAAGGGCCATAGGAGGAAGGCACACCAGCCCACATAGGGGTGGAGCGCCCTCCACAAGGGAGGAGTCCGAATTGGACTAGGGGAGGGGGCGGCGCCCCCCTTTCCTTCTTCCTCTCTCTCTCCTTCCTCCTTTCCCCCTCCGGTAAAAGGAAGGGGGGCTGAATCCTACTAGGAGCCCAAGTAGGACTCCTCCTACTCGGGGCGCGCCTAGGGCCGGCCTCCTCCCCTCTCCCTCCTTTATATACGGGGGCAGGGGGCGCCTCTAACACACATCAATTGTTCCAAGCCGTGTGCGGCGCCCCCCTCCACAGTTTACGCCTCCAGTCATATTCACGTAGTGCTTAGGTGAAGCCCTGCGCAGGTCACTTCACCATCACCTTCACCATGCCGTTGTGCTGTCGGAACTCTCCCTCGACACTTTGCTGGATCAAGAGTTCGAGGGACGTCATCGAGCTGAACGTGGTGCTTGATCGGTTGGATCGAGAAGACGTTCGACTACATCAACCGCGTTAAGCTAACGCTTTCTCTTTCGATCTACGAGGGTACGTGGACACACTCTCCCCCTCTCGTTGCTATGCATCTCCTAGATAGATCTTGCGCAAGCGTAGGATTTTTTTTTTGAAATTGCATGCTACGTTCCCCAACAGTGTTCTATGCATTGTCTTTGTTCAGTAGTATTGGTGCTAACCATTGTCATACATGAACACCAAAGACCTTAGTTAGGCCATTGTTCTGTCTGAGAATATGCCCCCCTATGTTGAGGACTCACAACTGCTATCCGATCAGAGACCTCCTGATGCAGATGTGTTTGAGGGGCCTATAGTGCAATCATCTATAGTGGGGGTGATGCCTGAGGCAGCTACTAAGGCTACAAAGGCAGCGATTTGGGGGGCTAGGAAGGGGAACACAATGAAATGGCAGCCTTCCCTGACCACGTTCATGCTTAACAAGATGTGTGAGTTCATCGCCAGTGGGGTTAGGACTGACAAGGTCTTCAAGGAGGTGCACCTCAACGTTGTTACCAAGCAAGTCTTTGAGTTATGTGGCACAAAGGTGACCTCAACCCTAGTATACAAACACCTCGGGAAGTGGAGATCCATATGGATCCGAGTGTCCAAGCCCAGAGACCTTAGCGGAGCATAGTGGGATCATGACACCTTCACGATCCTGTTGGAGGCAGAGCACTACCAAGTCCATGTCACAGTTAGCTAATATAACACTTGGTTTTGTGCTCTAACATGTCAATCACAACTAATATCTATGTGTTTCTTTCTTAGGACCACCCCAAGGACACTGAGTTCCTCAACACTCCCATCCAGAACAACTCTCAGATGCAGACCATCTTCTCAAGCGGTCTGGCTACTGGCAAGCATGCCATGGCTTTCAATTAGCCTCTCGTTCGCTATGCCTGAGTATCTATACACCCAAGATTCTGAGGCCATCATCCTTGATGGACCTGAGGAAGTTGCTGGTGGTGATCACTATCCTGCTCATGGGAGAAATAGGAAGAGGGGAGGCTTGATGGAGGAGGGGTTGAACATCTTTAGCAGCATGACCGATGTAGTGAAGGAGGTGGCTTTAGTCAGGAGGCTTTGATGGTGGCTACTCTTATCCACCTGTTGGACAACAGGGCGCGGGGTCTTTGGTTCGTTGGGATGGAAGTGCATCATAGGGTCCTATGGCTTACGGCCTGGCTGGGCAAGCACTACTTCTGGTGCTAAGGCCTGGTGGTAGTGATGGCGTGCATGATGATGATGTCCATTTTGGTAGCTAGGGCTTTAAAACACTTGTTGGCCTATATATTTTGATGAGGTGTTATATGCTAACCCATCATGTTGATGGTTAACTTGCGGTGGTAGGATTACATCCTCTTTGGGATGTTGTGGTAAGATGACACCATAGTAGTTAGGACGAACTTGTGGTGCTTTTTGGGTATATGACTAGACATACCTATGTTGCTTTTGTTCCAAATTTGCATGTTGTTTGAATTGTTGCTCTTTAGCCTTGGCAGATGAAGTGGTATTTGGCATACTCAGGTGGGGTTCTAGGAGTCTATAGTTCATGGCAGACATGCCATGAACAAGTGAAAGGTTACAAAGACAGCTACTACAAAGGATTTAAGAGTATGCATGAGGCAGAGGATGATTACTCCAACTTGGCAATCAAAGAGAAGAGCTATATATCCTGAAGTAGGCAAGGGTGCAAGTTAGGCGGGTACTGTGGGATGAAGAACTAGATAATATCCGTCCAGTTTGTCGTCATTGTGGTGTTGCTTTTATCCTATGATCATTGTGATCATATGTAACATGCAATGATCACTGGTTAGGGAGGTGGTAGATAAGGTCACCACATAGGCGTATGAGGTTACTACATCGAATCGATTGTGTGCAACCAGACGTCGTGTGGTGCATGAGCCCAGCCGAAAATCACGACATGGGCAACAAAACGCTAGGGGAGGGGGTGCTACCCTAACGCACGCAACGAAACATGACGTAGAACATCGCCCAGAACCTGTTTTTACTCAGCCAAGTTGAACCGAGTAATAGATGCACGGAGGCAAACTATGGTGCAAGACCAAACATGCCCTTAGTTTCTTGAGTCATAGGGAACCAGTGCTATTAAGAGGGGACGAGGATGGTGAAGTATATTTGTTCATGCCTTTTATACATAGTTCACACCTTCAAAGTCATCGTTTTTGACATCCCGAACCAGTTGGAGCAAAGTGCCCAGACTATCCAGATGTCCAGATTGGCAGGCACAGGATTGAGCCCAATGTAGGATCGTCTAGACTTAGGTTCAGGTTTGCTCGATCTTGGCACCATACGATCAACACTCGATTTGGGATCACTCGATGACCATGCCAGACCTTCCAGTGCTGGTTCACAAAGGCTAGTTTGAACAAAGTTTGACTTGTTGACCAGCAGCTAGGTTACCACTCAAGCTGTCCCAAGCAAAGTGCCTAAGTGTGCCGTTCTAGTAGGAAAAACAACTAGTTTGAGAACTACTCCCTCCGTGCCATAATATAAGTATGTTTTTAACACTAGTGTACACTAGTGTCAAAGTACACTAGTGTCAAAAACGTACTTATATTGTGGGACGGAGGAAGTATTTTAAATAGCCTCTCTCCGCTTCGGGTTAGGGTTAACACCTTCGAGAGGCCATTTGAGATCAAGCAAAACATCATTCCCCACTTCCCAAGCCACTATTCCTTTGACTCCTTAAGACTTAAAGAGGAGAGTTTTGATAGAGGAGCTAACGAAGATTCAAGCTTTCCCCTCTCTTTGCACCAAATTGACTTGAATTTAGCAAGTTTACCAAGCGTGGATGAAGATTCCTAGGCGATTGGAGGCACTAGTGAGTATATTTGTAGATTTCAAGTTTGTGAAGGTTTGGAGATCACCTCCAGACCTACACCTACAATTAGTGTTATTATAAGCTCAGGCTTTGTTTGGTAAGACTGGGGGTAACTCATGTTCTTCACACATCTCCAACAAAGATTAGTTTCCATGCCTCTATAATTTCTATTTGCATGGTGTAAAAACACACCCAAACTAATTTGCTAGATTCATGGAGTACTATGTTTCATTCAATATTCAAACGTTTCCATCTCATGTTAAGAACACACCCACTGATGCCCGATTCCCTCCCAGTCATTATGTGCTCCATACCTTGTTCAAGGACTTATGTCATTATTCAGTGTTCACAATACATACATCTTGTGGGGTTGCTCTTGAAATGGCAGGTCCCAAAAAAAGGATTTCGCATTGCCGAGAGGATCTTAGTGAGTTTGCAGCTACAAGCCTGCAACAAATCAAGGGAACCAACTTCTCACCACTTCTTCGTGTGGGCCAAAAGACAAATAGCACAAGCAGAAAGTAAGGCTTCCTTCAATTGCGCCTTGTGGGGACTGATAGCAGGCACTAAGGTGAAAGCCTATCTGTGTCCGGCAAATCTTAGAACTGCAATATGCCAATGGCAATGGAGCAACAGGACTAACAAGCCAGTGATTCCGAGCTGCCTGTGCTCTGCTTGACCCTGGGCAACGTGAGTACCCAGAGGCCCATACAACTGCAGGTTGCCATCCAGGCTTCTCAGTCACGGATTACTCATTTTTTCCGTTGTCGAAAACCCCAATGCGCTGTTTTCTCTGGTCGAAAACTGCCCTGAAGGATTGACCTTCATCACGAAGTTGCTCACTGAACCGTCTTTTTGTTTCATTGTTTACTTTATCCTTCACGCCTGTGGAATTATCTTCAGCCAAGGGGTTGGAGACCTACAAGCAATGATTTTCAATATAGCAAACTGGCAGGAAGCAAAGACTTGGGCCTAAATAAATTGTCAAAGGGGCCTCGGATATAGGATAGATAAAACTCAATTAAAATAGAAGGCCTTTCAGAAAAATAGAAAGCAAGGGAATATATGCAAACAAGTGATATGTACAAAATATTAGCAAGTATGAAAGAATATGCAGAGGATGAATAGTAGCAGAAAGTAAGGTGCTACTAACAGCATAGTGCGGTCATTTAACTGCCATAATGTTAGCAGTGGGTTAATACTAACCGAATTGTACCCTGATCCAGGTCCTATGATTAAAGATGAAGTGGGTCTCCTTTTGGCTGCACCGATAGAAAATCCACCCTTTTCAAGCTGCAAAAGAAAGGAAGATTGAGCATATCAAAAAAAGAATATGGTATTTCCATTTTAAGTAAACAGTGTAACACAGACTTGAGTGAAGGAGCATCACATCATGACTACAAAGTGATAAACAACTGCAAGGGTGCAGCCGACGTAACTTCTATTTTGGAATAATCAAAGTATCTTCAAAGGTTCAGTAACTAAATACTCCCTCTTGTCTCAAAATGTAAGACGTTAGTGTCAAGAAACGTCTTACATTTTGAGACAGATGGAGTACAAAGTGTCCAACTAAATCCGTGTTTTTGTAGCTCAGAAACTAGGACTAGATTTTAATAATGAAGTAATTTTTCTTTTGCACTCCAGAGAAACAAGTGCAGCCAAGGATCAAGCATAAATAAAGCACAAGGAAAGCAATATGTTGAACTTTCACTAAAGCAAATGCCGTACCCGATCACCCCAAGTAAGTGTTTTTTGATGGGTGCCATATGTCTTGGCCAGCACAGAAAGAGTATGTGTACTTCCATCTGCATGCTTGGACCTGTCAGTATCCTCATCAAAATCTTTTGACCATTTGCTCTGTCCTAGCTCCTTAATGTCATCTAAGTCTTCTTCATCTGATGAATCCCACCTGTCCCCTGGCATAAAAAAGTACGCACCAAGATTCATTAAAAATATAATAATGACAATGACATATATCGAGTTCAAATACTCCACACTTGCCCACGTGGGAGAGTTTGTCTCACAGGGCAGAAGGTTCCAACAAGTGTGCAGGCAGGAGATCCACAGTAGGTCAGGTTAGTTGGATTATAAGACTATAAGTTGACAGAGATAACAAAATTGCCAGCATACTGACAAGGTGATGCACGTCAAAAAAAAAGACAGGGTGATGGTGTTTGCTTCTTTCCTACAAAGAGAGCTCAGGGTTGACAAGATATATGCATCAACAGAAAAAACGAGTCAAACTGCAGGGTTTTCTACACTTGGAATGTGTTTGATTCAGGTCACAGGGTGGAATGCAACGGATCCGTTCTGCGCCAGTGGCTTTCTACACTTGGGGTGTGTTTGGTAGGAGTGGAGAACCAGAACCAAACCATTCTCCTGAATGGAATATTCAGCCCAGATGTGGAATGCACAAGTACCTCCGATTTGGAGGAATCACGCAGAACACCTCTCAGCTCTCACCTTTCCCGCGACTCACTCACCCCCAAACCCATCCTTGGCCAGCACTGCCACTCCCTCATCTCTCTCCCTCTCGATCTGCGACTCTGCCGGCCACTCCCTCGTATTTCCCTCTCCGGAGCCGCCTCTCCCTCGCTTCCCCATCGTCTCTTCCTATCTCTCGATCTCTGGTGGTGCCGCACCAAGGATCGAAGATGGCGGTGGGGACGGCAAGGGGAGCAAGGACGGCGGTCGAAGAAGGCGGTGGGGATGGCAAGCGGAGCAGGGGCGGCGGTCCAGCAGCTGCATCGGAGCAACTGGGCTGTCTAGCAGCAGCGGCGGCAGAGGAGCAGTGGCAGAGGCTCGTCGTGCGGCTGCGGTGATTTCGTCCTGCTGCTCGCCTCGGCGTGCAAACTGCGGCGAGTACCTGAGTACTCTTCATGCATATGGTCACTGCGGCCCGGAGCTCGTCCTCACAGGCCCGTCGACAAGTCACCGGCAGCCATCCGGAGCTCATTCACCTGTCGCCCGAAGGTGAAAATGCCCCACTGCCCCGTGCTTGTCTTCTATGTATGATGCCATTGCATATGCAGATGCAGTTGATGTGCACATAACTTTATGCGTGTATGTAGCCATGACGCAAAATTCAGTTTATGTGTATGGTCATGCTAGGATTGTTGCAAGAGTTGGCTAAGCTCTGTGAAAATTGTTAAGGATGAGCAATTTGCGTGAGTTCCAAATTTTGTGATGAATCCCAAAGCAAATTTGATGTTTCAAAGTTTGTAATGAGGAATAATATATCCTGTAATTGTGCATTGTTAGTTGTTTCTGATGCAAATGCAAAAGAAATGCTGGTGAAAATTGCAACAACGTTTTACTAAGAATGCAATAGATTCCTCTCATTCCATCTCTCCCACCAAACGCAGGAACGGAACCATTCCATTCTATTTTTTGACCCCCACCAAACGCAGGAATGGAACCGACCCATTCCACCAGAATAGAACCATAACATTTCATTCCACTTGGTTCTCAAACCAAACACACTCTTGGAGTATGAGAAGAAAAATACTTTGCAGGGCTTCTTCAATTTTTTGTTAGGATTATTAAACCATAAGATTAACTGTGGCCAAGGATATGTCATCAATATGCACCTTGATCAGGTACATCATCTGCTGATTCAGGTATAGCCTTCTTTGAGCTTCCAGACTGGGTGTTAACTGCCGTATCATCAGCATCATCAGTATCCTCTGTGTCCATATCAACCTATTTGACATATAGAAATCATGAGAAAGTTCGTCTCTTCACAAATGACTGGTGAGTGGTGAAATAGTGTTACCTCTTGTATAGAATGCTCATGAAGATTGTCACCATGGAATAAAGACTGAAAAAAAAGGTGCAAATGATTAGAAACATGATTAACTATGTATCTAATATAAGGTCTATTGCAAAACATTAAACATAACAATATTCTCAAGAACATACATGGGTATCTAGTCGCACATATAGTGGTGGAGCCTCCTCCCAATCAGCTGCCATCTTTTTGATATCATCCAATGTAAACCCATGCACATTCCTAGCAGCACAGCCCTGTGTATTACAAAAGATATATAAGACGTTCTACGCTATAAAAAGGAATCTACTTTATCTGAGTATAAATATCATACAACTAAGCATATTTCCGACAAAACTACCACAAAGCTACACCGCTAGGAAAAGTTTCACCAAAATGCACACATTTATCGTATCTATCATAAAACTGCATCTTCAAGGTGTATCTACTCTGCCTGTGGACTACGGAAACATGCAAGGTGTATCTACTCTGGCTATGGAGTACAGGAACATTCAAGGTGCATGCATTTGACTGAAAGCTTCCTACATTGGCAATTACACCATATGGTTCACATGTCGTAAGCACCACAACTTCAGGTATATATTTCATAAGCAGTGCATATGGACAGTCTCCCAATCCATATTCTTACCAAACTATACCAAAACAAATAATTGGCAAAGAGTTCTTAGATGATCCGTGACTTATTCGACAAAAATAGAATTGGTAGCTGTCTGAAGTACATAATCACATATTTACAACAAGTTAGGCCTTTCTTATTATGTGATATTACACGAACTTACTGTTGGATCCTTGTATGGTGCCTCGAGCAAGTAGACCTCATAGCCAGATCTCTATACAAGAAAACAGAATCAGTAACCTACTATAAAAAAAGGCAGATTAGGAGACAATAATAATTCAGACAATCAAATTCCAAACAATGAGGTAGTGCAATAAAGTGCCTCCTGAAATGCATAAGATCTTATCCAGCAAGGTTTGGACCTCAACAGTTGATTCTCGGTATATACAACAGTCACTGACCTTGCAAGTTGCAACCGCATGTTCTATAGCTATTATACAAACCATATAAAAATGTAAATCACGTTCCAGTATGCAGTTAACTGCATAGTGCATACAGAAACATGGAACAGACCAGAAGAAAGAGAGTGCTCTTCCTGTGCGCAGGCATAAACACGTACACTCATGCGAGAGAGAGAGAGAGAGAGAGAGAGAGAGAGCTCTTTGTTCGCAGGCATACACATAGAGAGAGAGCTATTTGCGCGCAGGCATAAAGCCATAAACACATACTCACAGACATTGAGAGGGAGAGAGAGATGAGCGGTTTTTTATTCTTGTTTTTACGTAAATCGTTGCATAACATTATGTATGTCATGATATACCGTATTGCCTATGTGAAGGGGGGGGCTGCCTATATGACACAAGAGCAACTAGTATAGATCAAAAAACACATTCAAGAGGAAAGGAGGAAGAAGAAAGTCACTACTGTGGCAAACAAATTAAATCAAAACATGCAACATTAATATGCAATTTCAAAATAGTACTACATCTTGAGTACTGCCTGACTGGCAGTTGGCCCTAAAACATGCTTTTTGAAAAGGAATACCCCTCTTGTTCTTAAAACAAGAACGGTGTGGTTTAAATAATTAAGAAAAGGTCCAGGTAAGCAAAATAAATTCTCGCAGTTGACGCAAAAGAGACTGAGGGTTTACCTTCGCGCTTGCCCAAAATTGAGCAAAATCAGCTACCCGCAGATTGCGGTCATCCACTAAAAACGGTCAGGGATACCAGCAATAAACATGTCAGTTACCACAATCCAGCATCCGCCACTGGTGAAAATAAAGGCATCGCCTGGTGTATTGTATGCCGCGACGACAGCTAAAATGTTGCTTAACTGAATGTTTTTGAACAATAAGGAATATAAACTTCCGAGACAAATGGGCACCCAACCACTGTCTAGGGAACCGATGTCATAATTCCCACAAACTGATCACCAAAATATTTGATAATTAATAGAAAACAAAGTTTCTATTGTGGAGAAAACCTTTTAATATTCATATTAAGATGTTGATGAATTTTGAGAGGAAAAAATAGGAAGGGGACTCATTCAACACTCCATGAAATTACAAGCAAAGACATAAACAAGGCAGACTATAACATGCAAGGTAAAACAACCAATGCGGACTAAACATCATAAAGCATGTTGCATCATTTAATAATATTTAGAATAACTTCATACCGATCACAAATGTGAAATTCCCTTCATCAAGGGTCTTCTTAAACGCATTTAACATGCTTGATCTGTAGGTCTGTCAAATGGAGAAGAAATTAGACTTCTTATGGTGGAGCTTTTCTTTTTAAAAGGCAACTGATAGCCGATCCTCATATCCACAATCCAGGTAATTCTTTCTATAGGGAACCTTACATTATCCTTACATTTAATGCTAATTTCAGATACTATCTCGTTCTCTATACATGCATTGCAAACTCTTGGGAAGGTCCCCTGATATCCATATTTCAACAAATATGAAGTACATTTCTTTACAAAAGGTTGCATTGCACCGATGCATTAACTAAAATATGTTTGCCTGCTTGTTAATAACAACAGGCGATGCTATGGTCTAGCTATAGCAGGTTCCCAATAATTGGCAGGTGCATTCAACATGACAAAAAGAAAGTAATAGACAAGAACAAATGAGATACATCACCTCCTCCATTTCAGGCTCATAACAATATTCAATCGCTTTCTTGGTCAACTGTTTCCGTCCTTTGGATGCAGTAGAAGATTTAGACCCTTGGTTGTCTTCGACCTTCTAAGAGCAATTTAGCACAATATCAGTTACAAGACAAATTATCCATAGAAATAGCAGGGCCATGATGAGCATTTCTGAAAGTCTAAGCCAAGAAATAAATGGTCGACAGTACACAATAAATTGTGTCCACTGTTCAGTTTCTACCGACCTTCTCAACCTCAATCATGAAATAGTCATCCATCGAGTGAATTCTGGGTGCACTTCCACCACTCTCAACTTCAAGATCACGCAATGCCTTCGCAAGGTAGCTCTTTCCACTACCTACAAGTTCTAATATTTGTCAGAACTGTAACAGTTGTGAAGCGCTGACATGAAATGATTTGACCCTACCAGAATAATAGATAAGTTTGTGCGCCAAATTAAACCATAATACTACTCCCTCCCCACCCCACACATGTCATTTTTGGAAAGTAATTGGTCATGAAGACTCAACTTTAGGTAGTACCTTATCACAGTATTTTCGCAGGACCTTAAAGATATATCGCTATGCCACAATGGGGTACTTTGTGACAAAGCCATCTATGTTCTTTTTTCATATAAACAGTGAAGATACTTCTACAAGTATTGGTGGAAAGTTAAACAAATTTGTTTATACCTCTCTAGAAGCAACATATGTATACGAACAGAGGGAGTAGGAAGTTCATCATGCATATTGATGTTTGCTTTTGATTGAAAACGTCATCAAATAGATTACAATTTGTTCAAAAAAAATTCAGGAACTCCCAAGTAATGTGCCCGGGTTTCATGTATATGTAAGAAAGACAACATGCACTCTTAAACAACAGGAACACTGAAACGATAAGGTCACTGCTTATGGAAGTATCAAAAGGTTGGACACTTCCCACAGCATATCAGATCTAATGTCATTTTACTGGCTAGGATTGCCAACTTAGTTGCAGTTAATAATTAGACTACTTAATGACTATGAAACATTAACAATGGTATATATGAAACAACCTGGAAGCCCTCGCAGGATGATAACAATATGATCAGGGCGTGAAGCACAAAGGGGCTGCTTGAACAAGTCGCATGCATTAACAACATTGACTTCCACATTGTTAAAAGAATGTTTGTCCTGTGTTGGCATTCTATCTCCCAAATGCTGCTCCGATTGTTGCCGATGTACGAAATCTACCCCCTGGAGAAACACGCACATATATAGCGATTAATACTTTTGACTTCTGAGTGGCCAATGATATATTATAAGCAAAGCATCCAAGGAAGAGAACCTCATTTTTGTTGGGTCCATTGTAATAATTTGCGTTTGGCATCAGGTGGGAATGATGCAAGGTATTATCACTGGGTGGAAGTGATGTAGTAGCCGGGGAACTGGAGAGGACAGGAAACAATGACGAGTTTGCTGCCTGCAGAGGTGGCATTGCATGATAATCTGGGGTAGAAGGCATTGCAGGATCTGGTGGTGGCAGCACAACACCCGCATGATGACGCCAATCGCGGGAATCATAATGGTTTCCTGCCTCAGCATGTTGTGGTACTGAAGGAAGTGGTGGAGCACCCGGCAATGCTTCAGGGTGAAACTGATGATGGTGATGGTGGTCGAAATACTTCTCCTGAGATCCTCCTACCGAATCTAAGGCACTATACCTATCAAACGGCATCGGCGGAGGTGGCATCCTTCTGGCGAGATCGTAATCAGTGAAATTGCCTCCCTGCGCATACGGGTTATTATAATTTTGATGAGGAGGATAAGCCCCATCTCCTCCATAGCCGAAACCATCGGGTGGATACGGTTCACCATGCCACTGTGCAGGCGGCAGCTGAGCGCGGCCATGGCCATGCTCCCGGATCAGCCCGAGCAGCCGCTCTCCCTCCACAGAAGCCCTGCCCAACATTGGCGGGTAGGGAGGGGGCGGGCCGGAGAACGGAGGCGCCTCCCCCACGCGCATCCTCTTGTGGGGGCCTTCCGTGTCGAGGAGATCGTACGGGTGCGGCCCCGGAGGAGCCCACATCGGCGGCGGCGGCGGGTGGAAGGGGGCATGGTACTGGGGCGGGGGAGGAGGGGGCGGTGGGTGGAGATCGTAGGGAAAGGGGTGGGGCGGGAGAGGCGGAGGCGGGCAAAAGGGGAAGTGGGGCGCGGTGCAGACGGGGCAGAGGTCGTTGCCGGCGCCGGCTGCGAAACGCCATGGATGATCCATGAGGAGGTGGCCGCGTGGGTTTGGGGATCTAGGGTTTCGACGGAATAATCAAGAGGGGTTGAGGCTTGCTCCGAGAAGTTGTTTGGGGTTCTGCAGGTGGCTTCGCCGGTTGGGGACGGGGCGAGGAGGCTGTGCGCAGCTGCTACAAGGAAGATGAGGGCATCTCCAGGCGTTGGCTCTTTAGGGGCGCCTAAAATGGCCGCCCGAGGGTGAGCCGACCCAAAATTGAGTCTGGAGTGAGTTGGTTCCCATCCGCCGGTCCTAAGGCCGTTCCAGGCACATTTTAATAAAATAAAAAAAGTAAGGCGAAGTTCGGCTTAAACACGATAAAATTCGGCCAAACACGATAAATTTCGGCATATTTCGGCGAAGTTCGCGGATTTTCATTACATAGCACATATACATAAACTAATCTAAAGGAAAAGTTGGCTGAAGTCGCCGCCATCGTCGTCGTCGGCTTTCTCCTCCTTGACGCGGGCGTCCCTGCTGGACCCTTGCCCGGCGTCGCCATGGCGGACTGGTGGCGGCGCATCGTCGTCGTCGTCGTCACTGTCGCAGATAACGACGACTCCGCCTTCGTCGCGGCCGCGTCGACGCTCCGCGAAGCGAAGCAAGGCGGCGCACTGGCGCTCCTTCGCCTTCTCCAGGCGCTCCTTCTCCATCGCTATGGAGTCCCTACGCGCCCATTACAGGGCCGCGTCGTCGTCGTCGAGCTCCGTCGTCACCGGCGTGGCCGGCTCCTTCTTCACCGGCGCGAACCCCGGCTCCGTCTTCACCGGCGCGAGCCCCCGCTCCGTCTTTGACTTGACGAAGCGCGGAGGAGCCGACGAGTAGGCGCGTCGGCCGCCCTCGTTGATGACGATGCCGGCGCTGCGAGTGCGCCGGCCGAGCGGCGTCTCCACCGCGGGCTCGGCCTTGACGCCGAGCAGGGCCGGAGTGCCGGAGGAGTGCGATGAAGATCGGGAAGAGGAAGAAGAGGAGGAGGACCCGAACCTCCTTGGCGCCCATGGCCCGGCGCGTCGGTGCTGCGCCGGGGTGGCCGCCCTCGCCGGGTACGCCAATGGCGGGTCGTTGCCGCCCTCGAGGTACGTCGGCACGCCCTCGAGTGTGCGGCCGGGGACGCCCCACCACAGGTGACGCCCCTCGTTGTTCTGCCGGTCGCCAACCACCGGCGCGCCGTTGATGGACGCCAAGCGCTGCTGCTGGCGAAGCGCTCGAAATACGCCGCCCAAGACGCATGGTTGTCGGCAGCATACTGGGGAAGGGAGAGTTGGGCGTCGGTGAGGGAGGCGCGCATGACCTCGACTTCCTCGGCGAAGTACTTCGGCTTCGCCACGGCGTCGGGCAACGTGATAGAGGCAAAGGTGTCCCGTCTTTCGATGAGATGATGGATATCGCTTTGGTGGAAGTCGACAAAGCGATATCCATCATCTCATCGAAAGACGGGACACCTTTGCCTCTATCAAGTGGTATCAGTTTTCAGGTTGCTCGGTGAGAATTTCCAGTTTTCCTAGATTAGATTTATTTTCTTACCTATTATCCAAGAAAAAACCACAAAAAGAGTTAGATCTATTCATCCTTGGTCCAAGCCAGTCTGAGCCTTTGCAATTTTTTTTTCATTGCTTGCATAGTTGAATTATCGGTTGCATCGTCGTGTCGAGTTGCTGGTCTTAGTGTCTAGTTCGTTTAGAGTTTCGAGTTCTGTTCACATTAGTCATGCCACCGCTGCATCATTATCTCTTCCGCTGTCCACCACCCATTCATCAATTTCCACCACGTGCTACCCACTGTTCATTGTCATAATCATAGTTGAGGTCATTCACATCTTCGCCTGATCCAATCTGCATCTTATCTAGTTTGTCTTGGAAAGAAAAAAAAAGATAGAGAAGAAAAAGAGAAAAAAGGAAAGAAAAAAAGAAAAAGAGAGAGAAGAAAAAGAAAAAAAAGCGTGAGAAAAAAAAGGAGAGAAAAAAATTGAATCTATCTAGAATCAATCTCGTACCTGAATTCGGATTGGAATCTGTTTTGCGCACTGTTCAGTAAAACAGGTGTATCTTTCTCATACGAAGTCAGTTTTGGCTCCGTGAGTACTCAAATTGAAGATAGCGACGAGCCGCATCTAAATAGTTGCAGAAGCTAGTTCAATATTTGACACCTCAAAATCGGCTTCTAAATAGGTCTTTTTGCCCTCCGAAGTTTGTGAACACAACTTGTTCCAATTTTTCAGGCCAGTTTTAGAATTCTTTGACTCCTCATATCAACTCGGAATTGAGTGATTCTTTTTGCATTGGAAAGCTTGAGTTAGTAGCATTCTTTGAAAGAATTTATCAGAAAATTGTCTCAAATTTTTCAAGAGGAAAGTTGGAGAGAGAGTTGTTGTATATCCTGCTTGGCAGTTGTTTTTCATCATTATCTTCACTGCTGTTGTGATCTTCACTTATATCTTGCTGTCAAGAGCTACTTAGTATCCTTCATTGATGCTAGTTGTGCTACGCCGTGAACTCATTAGTGTTCTAGGCTCGCGTCTCTAGTACGGTCTAGCCTAGGACCAGCACAGTACCGTCGTTGAGCGTTTATTCAACATTGCATCTTTGAATTGATTATTGCTAATCTTTTGCTACCATATATAGCCAACCCAGCTCCACATATTTCTACACTGTGTATACGTACGCTCCCCTGGCAATCGCTTTACTCAATATTCGGAGTTACTTGACACCGCTGGTTGCCGATCACCGCCTGCTGCATGGTAAGAACTTGTAAGACATTGATATTTGCTTTACTGTGAGCGTTTTACCACCACATCCTAGTAGTTATAGGAACATTATTTTTGGGTTTTGTTTCTTGTTCTACTAATCATGACAGGATCCAGAGTCAATTCATGGGCTTTGTCGATCGCGGGAGACGTGCCACCACCTTTGCAAATACCACAACCGTCACGAGAGGTGCACAAACATCCAAATGCACATGATCAGGTTAATGTATCTATACCACCATTTAATGGCCGTTTTAAACCTGCTTTATATATTGAATGGGAGTTCGACATAAAAAATATATTTGCTTCCCATAATTTCGATGAACATAAAAAGGTTAAGGTTGCGGTTGGTTCTTTCACTGGTTATGCTTTGGTTTGGTGGAGTGAATATTGTCGGTTACACCTTGATTATATACCTACTACTTGGGATGATTTGAAACTTGCCATGCGACATACTTTCGTCCCTACTTATTATACTCGTGACATGATTAAGAAGTTGCAACACTTAAAACAAGGTAGTGAAACTGTAACAAAATATTATGATAATTTACAAACTACCTTGTTGCATTCCTCTTTAGAAGAAAGTAAAGATGATTTTATGGATAGATTTTGGGAAGGATTAAACCGTGATATTCAAGAGATACTAATTCATGAAGAGTGTTATCCTATGGACCATTTGTTTCATCTTGCTTGCAAAGCTGAACAGGAAATAAAACGACGTGTTGGCCACGAGGAGAACAAGCGCACGGTGCACATTCCAAGAGTTGATATGATTGTTCCTTCAACTACTAGGCATACTATGACAATCACATCCGTTGTTTTCAGGACTACATCACCTCCACCATGTGACACATCGCCCCCGAGAGTGGCTACATCATCTGAGTTGATCATAAGAGGTAATGACAAAGGTACTGATCTTCCATCTCTACATGAGAATGATGAATGCCTTGTCAATTTGAATGCACCATCTGATGAGCTACCCACTACTTTGATCACACCACCTATTTTAGAGGACTACGTTGATAATTTGACTTTGCCATGTGATCAAACAACTGAAATACCAACAATTTTGAGTGCACCCATTGAATTAACTATTGATGCAAAAGTACCAATGTTTAATCATTTTGATATGACCTCTAATCTTGGTGATGATTCTGTGTTGAATGACTTATTGCATGTTTGCTTATTTAAGCATGTTGTAGCATGTAAATTTGATGCAAGTAAGGTTTATTCACCAATGTTGGGATGGTTTAATGATGAACATTGTCAATCTTTTGAAATAAATAAGAGCTTCACTTATATGTGCAAACTGAGTTGCAATATTTTCATGCCTTCTACTTCTTGTGCTAATTTTTTGGCTTTAGATTTTATGAACTATGCAAGTTACTCATCTATTCATGTGTCATATATACAAAAATCAAGGAAAGTAAAAATGGATGACATATACATATACAACATGTACACCTTGTCTTTTTTGTTAGCCACATTTCAGATTAAGCAACGCCGAGGACAGCTTTATTTTCAAGAAGGGGAGGATGATGAGGACATGACTACCTTGGATATGACCAAAAATATTGCATATATGCATATTTGTCAGGTGATTTCTAGTGCAAACTATTCAATAATCTATTTATGTTATCCAGAACAAAAATACTTCACACACTTTTGTGTTTTGTCTAATTGCAGGTGTATGGGACATTTGTACAATCCACATATGAAGATAAGGAAGAAAGAGATGTTTATTTGCTGTCCAAAAAGTTCTCTCACGTCACTTTTGGCCCAAGAGAAGATAGAGTCCAAGTCTCTCACGTTCTGGATTCAGATTCGGACTGCACAGACACACCTGACTCAAAACGCACACAAGTTTTTCATACGGACTCCGAATTAGGTGATTCTTTTTTTGTTGGAAACTAGATTTCGTGCACTTTCCGACACAATTGGAATCACCTTCAAATTCGTCCGGAGCGTTGAGTTGTGGATGAAACAATCTGATGCTGCAGCAGAATCCGAGTCAAACTACAAGTCCAAAGGTGTTACATCACCTCCACTTGGGCCCATTGGCCTTGTACGACCTAGATTTAGTTTTAGGCTGCCTTGGGACGTCCTCCCACCTCCTTGGCCGCCACCCCTTGCTCATATATAAGTAGATCCATCTAGTAGCTTTTCCTTGGGTTTTGTTTAGATTAAAAGTTCGTCATAGCTGCAACTTCGCGTACTTCGTTTGTGTTCAACGACCAGACAAAGGCGT